GATGGAGATACCCTGGCTAGACAAGCCTAGTCCCTTTGTTTTACACGTTGGTATGCATTCGTTTGGTGTTTAATTGATTCATCTTGGGTATAAATATCATAATCATACATATCTTTATCCTCATGCTATACTGCTGTTGAGCATAGTCCAGTACGTAGTGTCTACACCTTGCAGTGCCCAATCCTCCGGGTCGGCCGTGAAGCAGGGCCAGTTGGAGTCCAACACATCAGGCGCGAAGGCGCAGGTTGTGGATAGGTCGCAGTTTTCGGAGCCAAAGCTTGGCGAGTTGAATGACAGCGGGAACTGTGACATGTCGACGTTGCCACTGGGCGTGGCGCTGTTGGACGCTATCATGCTCGCTGTGGAGGCGGGCGGCGTCGGACCGGGGTTGATGTTCACCGTACCCAGGAACGGGATGTTGAGATGGACGTTTTCTCCGCTCGTGCCTGATTGTCTCTGCACGATGGGCAAAAGCTGCCGGATTGTTTCCGCCGCTTCAATGCAGAGCCGGTCATTATTTAGCGCTCCCATTTCTTGCATCCTCTCTTGTGTCTTTTCGGCGAGGTCTCTGTCGTGCTCTTTTTCTGTCTCGTAGCCTGGCCAGCGCCACCCGAGGTATCCCAGCAGGAGTGTCATGGCCGCTACGAGGGCGGAGTAATCGACGTGACGGCCTGATACGGATGTAGTAAAGCAGTTGCGGTACTCGAGGAAACGGTCGAGCACGTCGCGACTTGCTTGCATGCATGTTGCGCGGTTGTACTCGTATCGTCGTTGGCCGCGATCGCGAAGAAGATAGGGAAGATGGAGAAGAATGAGAAGCGAGAAGTGCCGGATTTGCAGCTTGATGACGCTCATTCCGTCGCCTGACGCGTCGGATGTACCGCAGCATATGGCCATGTCAGGTAATTTCCACCACAGACCATCATCCATCATCTTGTACGCCTTTTCAAGCTCCATGTCGATGGATTGCGTAAGGACATATGCCTCGCTGCCTTTGAGTTCATTCCTATCTGCGATCTTGCCCGCCATCATCGCGTACACTTTGCCAAGCTTGTCGCTCGGTGCATCCGACACGAGAGCATTGTCCTCTGCGAAGCTATTATCGCGCGAGCCGATAGGCAGCCCGAGAATGAGAGAGACGTAGCGATCGTTGCAGTTGATGCGGAACCAAATGACTGGTGGTGAAGGGCGATGCTTGTTACTGAATGATGGGTCTACGGATTTGATTGACTTGGCACTCTTGCGATCAATGCCCATGAGCTGTGCCATGTTCAGAGCGCGACGGCCTGTTAACCAGGCTTTTCGCAAATGGCCTGCATCGCTTTGGTAGAAGCTCTGTAAGATGAGACACTCGAGACCTTCTAAGCACCCGACAAAGTCGTCGTCTGACGTGACTAGACGTCCAGTAACAGCAATCCACTCTTCCATCGTCTCGCGGGGCGATTTACTCAACCCGAGGGTACTCCCATCGAAGAATGGAGGCATCTGCTGCAGACAGACAGCAAGTTGTAGAAGACGCTTAGCGAGAATGGCCGGGTGGCTTGTAACGGACGGTATCTGCGCCAGCGACGATAAAGGCTCAGGCTTTCCGTCAATCTGATCCTGCTGCGAGTAAAACATGGCCAGGACAAACCGCGCCCCAGGACTCTGCTGCGAAATGGCATACAGAATCTGCTGCGACGGGAAAAGCGCGTGCAGCTGCGCAGAAACATGCGTCGCCTTTACAGAGCGGCTCGGGAACTTGTGCGTCACGATCGCAGCGTCAGGCTGGTCCAGGATCTGCTGCGCATTATCCACGACCGACGACTCAAACACATCAGCCGTATGCTGCGTGAACCGCTCCAGCGCGGGGTCTTCTGATTCAGGCGATGGCAGCGGCTTGTCGACCAGCTTCTCCATCAGCTCCTCCAAACGGCCGAGGCGCTGCGCAAGACGCTTGTCTTGAGAAGCGGAGGGCGGCGTCGGCACATATTCCTGCGATACACAGCTTGTCTCGCGCTGTGTGCAGCCTATGCAGATTGGATCGTCTTCCTTTGAGAACTGGCATTTTATCTTGCGGCGGCGGCCTGGGCATGTAAGCACCTCACGGCGTATGAGTGGAGGGGAGATTTACATTCCCAGCAGCTTCGTGTTCCCTTTCGAACTTTGCGGCGCTTGGCGGGTGGTTCGGACATGGCTGTAAGTGAATTATTCGGCCGAAGAAGAATAGATGGTAGAGAATGCGAATATGAAGGGGTTTGATGGGTGAGAATGTGAGAGGGTGTTGATGATGTACACGGACGAAATGCGGACGAAGGACGGACGAGTTGGTGAGGTTTTGTGGGGGTGCAGCGGGAGGATTAGCCCGGCTTATGGTGTCGGCGTCCGGACGGGGGAAGTGTATTTGTAATGCAGAATTGAACAAAGAGAGGCACGGTGGTGCTTTGTTGTCATTTATCTGGTATGTATTTATGTCGATCTATTGTTTACTGAGAGGGTATTTGGTGTTGATAAGATGCTGGCGATTGCAGCGACGTGGTGCAATCCGAAGGATGAGTACACGCTTATGAGAGAACGCGATGGCAATCTCAAAAGGCAGCACATACTACCAATACACTCGAGCGATTGTTGTTTCATTTTTATGTGAGATTATTTGCAGACGGATTGAGCAGTCTCACTCAAATCTGGATGAGATGGTCGCTTGTTGACCCTCAGTATCCTCTCTGAATAGCTTCACTCTACACCATCGCATCATCACAGCACATACCGCCTCTGGAATAATGACATGCAGGTTCTTGAGCTCATATTAATTGCACGTATTGGTAAATGCCACTGAAATTACTCAAAGTCGCAAAAGTCTCAGCTTCGTGCCATAAAGAAAGTCGCGTCAAGTTGCGTTTAACCAGTATTTCATCTATCATTCCCCACTGAAGCTGCGCCTGTCATCTTCGCTCGCAAATGCGTTCCTTCTTCATCTTGATAGAAGCGGCATTACAATCTAACAGGTAAATGAGCTTGTAGCTTACGATGTCGCGCTCAACCGTCGAGAGGCGGGCGACTTTGCTTATAAAGAAGAAGATATGCAGGTTTGTGAGAGGAGCGGGGGCTGCAAGCATTGATGAGTTTTGATGAGTTTATGACGATTTTATGATCATTTTAGGATAAGCTTAGGATAATGGTTTTTTATAACTATTTAATGAGATTTGATAAATAAATGACAAGCTTTTGGTGGTGGCGATGAGTACTTATTTATTTATGGTGTAAGTACTGGATTTATGATGGTTCTGCACGTTGAGTGATTACCCTATCTCAAGAAATGACGTCCTTACCAACCCCACGATTCTGTTCATCTGCCCGAGCTTCAATGCACTAGGGGAGCAGTGTGGCATATTAGCGATCCCAATACTTCAGGAATAATAGAAAGTCATCATCAAAGAGACATACATACAACCAACGCAGATTATAGAGCAGTCTTGAATCGGTTTAGGTGCATGTTGTTTAAACGCCGCATTCGCCCCACCACCCTTCAGCAGTAGGGCACACAAACACAAACCAGTCATTCTTTGCAATCATGAGAACTTTAACTTGCAAAAGATTGCAAAGTGAGTCAAGCATACCTCAGAAGCAATATCTCAATTGCTGTGTTATGCAAAATGACATGGTTAGTTGAGCTTGTCTCAGTGAGAGACCCTGCTACTTGGGCGTCGCCAGATATCTTGGACTGAGTCGGCCATACTGAGGTTCTCTACCATTGACAAGAGCGCATGGCACTCTCCAATGGATCAGAAGACCAAAGAAGTCTTTTCAGAGCCTTTGGATTCATACAGAGGAGCATTGTTGAGGACCATCAGAGGCTTACAGTGCCACTGCGAGCGGGGACCCCTGTCACACAGAGTAGCAAACTAACGGTATATAACCCGTAATATCCGAATCTCATTCGTCCTTCGGGACACATTGGTCATGTTGGTGCCCCCGTTAAACTTTGCAGTTCTCTGCAGAGTTCATCAGTTCGATCTCATACTAATATCTCAATAGTTGAAACGATACAGAGAAGATTAGCATGGCCCCTGCACTAAGGATGACACGCTCAATCAAAGAGAAGCTACCAATTTTTTTTCTCTTCCTTTTTTATCCTCTTTTGCTAATTTCGTTCTAAGGTTCTTTTTTGCTGTTGAAATGTATTCTTGCGTGGCTGGTAATCGCTCACCACGCGTCGCCTTGAACAGACATCCGGAGAGTGGGGCCGTGGTTAGCCGGAGCAGGCCGGCGCATACCGGTCTCGTTGCTCTTAGCCCGACACCTCACTTCAGCCTTTTCAACCTGAAGTTTCTATACCAGTTCTGTTTCCCAAACCTCAATCTGGAACGGATTGCCATTGAATGTATTCATCATAACTCTTTTGTCTTGTGAACTGATCTGATGTACTACTAATCTGGCCGTCGATCGTTCAGTTGTATCTTAAGATTCGAGGCAGCAGACGAAAGAGGGCCAGGAAGTTCGAGTCCACGGGGTACTCTTTTCCCCGAGAAAATAGTGATAGAAATGTATTAGAACTCCATAAATGATAATTCGTTATTTTCAAGGTTGCTAGTTGCTAATGCTGCATTTGTAACTCGCGCGCGCTGGATGCTGAATAACCATCCGACCCAGTGGACTCAACTCCGTGGAACGCCGTGGACCGCAAATCCGGGCGGGCTTATACGCTTATCGCATAGAGACGTGCTGTTACGGAACGCCATGGATACAACGACGATCGATTATCTTGGGGCTATCCCCTGCCATCGAAAGCCCGTGGAGCATTTATTTTGGCTCGGACTCTGCTTCTCGGATCGGACACGCACAAACTGGAGCAGAGTCTGTCCGCAGCGCGGTGTTGCGTACTCAGCTTTGTAATGATGCAGAATTGAGCTAATGGTACTCAGGATGTCGCTGTATATAAATGGCGACTGAAATACGTCGTAAAAAAGTTCATTAAATACACAACTTCAATTACAATCACCACTTCAATCACAATCGTCAAAATGCCTGTCCGCTACACCTCCAAAGACGTCAGTCCTGAGCCCTTGGCCCAAGAACTTCATCTCCATCCCTCTGGCCGAGTCGCAAAGAACAGATTTCTCAAGTCGCCCATGGCGGAGTCGCTTGCGAGCTGGGATCCCGAGATCGTCTCCAAGAGAGGAATCCCGACCGACGAGCTGATTGAGCTGTACCGACGGTGAGTTCATCGGCGCCGATAGATGGGCCAGACTGACAGTTTTAGATGGGGCGAGGGCAAGAACAATTTTGGCATCGTCGTCACTGGCAATGTAGACATTGATCTCACCTCCGTCGGCGGCGCTGCGTCTCCCGGAATTCCTGTCAATGCTCCCTTTGAGGGTGAGCGCTTCGAAAAGTTCAAGCAATTGGCCGCAGCAGCCAAGAGAGACGGCTCTCTGTTCCTCGCTCAGGTGAACCATCCCGGGCGACAGGTTCCCTACAAGTTCAACCCAGTCGCCATCTCAGCCTCTGACGTTCAACTCGGTGAGTCGCTCACTGTGCTTCGGTGATACGTACTGACCGTCACAGATCCGAAGATGGGAATGACCTTTGGCAAGCCGCACGCCGCGACAAAGGAGGAAATCGCCCAGATCATCGAGGGTTTCGCCCACGCCGCCGAGTATCTCGAGAAGGCCGGGTTCGACGGCATTGAACTGCACGCAGCTCACGGATATCTCCTCTCTCAATTCCTTTCTCGGACCACCAACAAGCGCACCGACGAATACGGCACTCAGACGGTTGAAAACAGACTCCGTCTCATTTCCGAAATCGCAAACGCCGTCAAGGCGCGCGTCTCGTCGACCTTTATCGTGAGCGCAAAGCTCAACAGCGTAGAGTTCCAGGACGGTGGCGTGACAGCCGATGAGGCGAGGGAGCTTTGCGAAAGACTTGAAGCGCTGGGATTCGACTTTGTTGAACTCAGCGGCGGGACCTATGAGCGCATGGCATTGTCGTGGGAGAAAGAGTCGACCAAGCAGCGCGAGGGTTTCTTTCTCGAGTGGGCCGAGACCATCACCAAAGCGCTTGATCCAGCGCATAAAATGAAGATCTTCATCGCTGGTGGTTTGAGAACCGTGGGCGCCATGGTAGACGCGCTTGACGTTGTCGATGGCGTTAGTATTGGACGGCCTGCGGCGGCAGAACCGCGTTTGGCTGGTGATATTATCGAGGGACGCATCAAGGGCGCGATCCGACCGACTGAGATGGTTGAGAATGATCTTGGGATGGGGATGGGTGTCGCTGGGGCTCAGTTCGCGCAGATTGCGAAGGGCTTTGAACCGCTTGACGCGAGCAACACTGAAGTTGTGCAGACATTCGGCCAGGATATGGGCGCGTGGTATGAGAAGCTCGTACAGGATGCGGACAAGAATGAGTTTGTTCGTGCCATTCAGTATTCGGGACCTCAAGTTCCATATGGCACTGTTAAGGCCTGATAGATCATGGGTTGATTGAGCTTAGACATGTTTATTAGAGTGTAGGGTATTTATTCCGAGTCATTGATTGCGTTTTCCTGAAACAAACTCATGTCATGTCATGGCGTTTTAAACGGTTCTAAATTTAGGGTTGATGATCGACAGCCTGATGAGGCTATGTGGAACCCTGCATTCGGAGGATTTGTCAGCCCTTCAACCTCACTTCATCTCACTGCGCATCTGCAACAAAACACTCAACATTATTCTTCATCAGTTGTACTCGTCGTTTTTAACCACTGGAACTTACCAAAACAAATCTACAGCTAAATATTTCGCCAATCATAGTCATGTCGACTGCTGATACAGATCCTACACCGTCTAATCGTCGCAAAGGTAAGCAACTCGAATTATGAATATGGACCAAGCTGACAAATTCTCAGCATGCGATTTGTGCTTCACAAAAAAGATCAAATGTGACATGCTAAAGCCAGATTGTTCGAATTGTATTCTCTATAATACGAGCTGTCGAACCAGCATAATTAGAAGGAAGCCTAATTCTGCGAGAGTTAGATCAGGGGCTAAACAACAAGAAGAGTACGCCCCTATTCCTGATTTTTTGTTCAAATTAGTAACTCTTTCAGGAACAATCGCCAAGAGGGCCTTGAAGCAAGATTAGTTCGTATTGAGGAGCAACTCCAAATTGTTCTCAACGCTGCCCAAGATGCTCAAAATGCCAGGCCGCATTCAGATGACCATTCCAGCCCGAGTGACTCAGCGGAATCAGTTCTCAACAACTCCGTAAATTTCGAAGAGATGGCCAAACGAGGATTTGCTTGGAAATTCGACCCAGTTAATCCAGCAGTTTACCAAGGACCTCAACCAAACACATTGGAATTGCCCCCTCTTGATGAGATTCTACCTATAGTAGACCACTACTTCACAACATTCAACGGCGTGATTCCTCTCTTTCAGCAGCCAGAATTCATGAAGATTCTAGCGGCATGGTATAAACAACCCGAAACTCGCGACAGAGCTTCTTGGGCTGCTATTCAAACCGTCATGGCCATTGGATATCGCACTCCGCAGCTCTCGCTACGAGACAGTCAATCAGTACATATTGAAAAGGCAGATCAATGCTTGAGGAATGCACAGACTGTTGTGTCTGAACTTGTCACGCGCGATGAGGATTTACTCGGCGTCCAGATCTTATTAGGTATCGTGATGCTGTTCCAGAATAGTCGTGATCCGAAACCCGCCAGTGTTTTGATTGGAACAGCGGTTAGGCTGGCGCATAGACTCAAGTTGCACTCGCAAGAAGCGGCGATGCAGTTTCCGGCTGCAGAGGCAGAGCAGAGATCGCGTGTGTTTTGGATTGCGTACACTCTTGACAAGGTAAGTTGTTCGAGTGCGTAAAAACAAAAGCTTATGTTAGTAGGACATCTGTCTTCGTGCGCAAACACCTTCATGCCAGTTTGATGAAGACATCGACATTAGTCTCCCTGTACTTGCGCCACCAGATAGCGTTGGTTTAATATGGACGCAAAACGGCCAAGTACACTTCAACTATCATCGAAGGCGCGTGGAACTCGCTTACATACAAGGCAAAGTGTACGATCTTTTGTACTCCAACCGCTCCAGCAAGGTGACAGCCCAAGAGCGACAACGACGGGTATCTCGGCTTCAAGCCATGCTCGATCAGTGGTATGAGCGCATTCCAACCGTCTTCCATATCGAGCATGTCGCAGCAACGGTGGGACCGAGCCAGCTTGTGCAGATGACAAAGATGCACCACGCATTTCTGCTGACGGAAGTGATGATTCACGGTATTTACAGCCATAATGCTGAATGGGTAAAAAGGATCAGCTCGTTTAGTAGAGCTACGATAACTTCTGTTGGAAGCTTGGAGAACAGGGGCTTTGATGGTGCTGGAAAGTGTCAGGACCAAGCACCGCCTTTAGCTGAGGGATGGAATCATTGCGTGGAAGTGAGCAGAGGGTGCATGAAGTTATTCCAGGAAGCTACACCAACAGAGTGCCTGATTTGGTAGGTCAGTTGCAGAAAGTTTTGAGAGATTACTGACCAGCGCAGGCAATGTAGCTGCTCTCATTTCTCAGCGCTCATCGTCCTCCTCGCCAACATGATCCTCAACCCCGGCCACAACTCAATCCACATTGATCAGCACCTCTCAGTAAAGGCGCTCGATCTCTTCGACAAGCTTCTAAAGATAATCGACGACGAAGCGTTCAGAGCATTGCGAAGTGTTGTTGGTGAACTCAGCCAGAGGGCGCAAACGGCTGTGGCGGTGTATAGAGACGAGCTGAAAGGGTCAGGGAAGGACGTCTTTGAGGCGCTGAACGTGGATGATGTGGCTGTGCACGAGGTGGATTTCTTGCCGGCGGGAGACATGTTTGAGGGGCTTGAGGGGCCGTTTGTGGGGTTGGACGGACCGTTTGTCGGATCGAGTGGGGAGCTTGAGCGGGGCTTCGGAGACGGGATGAGCTTCATGGACGGCGGAGTCTTGGACATGGAGTTTATGAGATGAGATGCGACAGACGCTAATCTACATTGGCGCAAGAAGGGAGAAAGAGGAATCATAAGCTTACCAGTGCAATGCGAACACTCACAATCGTTGAGCAAATGGTGAGAAAGAAAGAAATTGCTTCTATGGTATCTAGTCTAAAGTTCTAAACTGCGCGACAAAAATAAGAGACAAACCATAAGGATCCAAGGTAAAGACTGACATATTACGGCGATGATCTCACCACAAGCAAGGAAAAGGCTGCACCACGACAATTAACCCGCCAGACGCAAGGAAAAGAACAGGAAGAGACAGACAGATAGATAGACAGACAGACAGACAAAAAGAAAAAAAGACAAAGAAAGACAGGAAAAGAAAGAGGGGGGAAGCCGAGCAAGATCAAACAAACAACAACAGCGCATCTCATCCATCATCATCGTGGCTGCTGTAAGGTTGTTGCAGGACCAGAAGCGCCAAAGGGACGCATGGGCAGCTCAATGTGCAGTAATGACGACGTCGGCGACGGATGATGGTTGCAGGGCATGACAGGCGGTGTTAAGCTCATACTGATGATGTGTGTCTTAGAATAGAGGTCCATCCTCGATGATGGCACCGACGGGACGGGTAAAGGATTGCCGCAGGGACAAATGGTGGCAGTAGAAAGGCCCAGCGGGACCTATGTACCTCTGCCAGAGATTCAGTGGGCGCGCGGACCCGAGGGAGCACACTCCTCGATGGCGCTCATTGAGGCTCATCATCGTGAGGAAAAGCAAGGCTTTGCTGACAGTCATGACATTCTGACCGCATGCATTCCAGAGCACGGCTTGCCATTCGACATGGTATCGTGTCTCGGTGCCGGACCCTTTCGCGCTCACGCGTACAACAACGAACTCATCGACAGTGGCGATAAAGCCGTAGCGAGTCTGGGCCGAGATACAATAGGTCGCGATGCGGCGAATAGGACGCATGACTCTATCGTTTGTGGGATTCGTGAGGTCAACGGATCTCCACGATCTTGTCACAATGCAACTAACGACCAGAGGTGTCCGGCTCTGACCAGAAGTCAGTGAAATTGTGGAGGTTCGATTGCCGGGCAAAGAATGGCCTGGTATCATGTCTACGGCGGGGGGAGACTGTCCGTTAAGGCGACTTTGAAAGACTCGTGCGCCCACGGCGATTGGCTCCCTAATCCGAGACCAGATTTTGTCCTGGAACATCTTTGACTTGATGTCCTCAATGGAGTTGATGGTTAGAATAGGTGGCTGATCATCGGTGGCAGTGGCCAAGCGAAGGGCCATGATGTCGCCATACGCTTGGGTAAGGGCTGCAATATTGAAATCTGCCCACAGTGTGACTTGTGAGGAAAAGACATTGACGGCTGTAGGATCCTGTCTGGGAGCTCCCAGATTGCCCTGAACGTCAAGACTGGGGTTTGGACGAGAAAGGATCTCCCGGATGGGGATCTGGGGCTCGAATCGAACTTGATAGGTGCGGTTTGGCGGAGGAAATGACATTTTGAAGTAACTTTTTGGGTGAAAGCATGCAATGATGAAGATAGACAGCGAAGTAACAAATGCTGGAGATGGATGGTCTGCGCTCGTCTATTATTGTGGTTGAACGAAAAGAGTAATGACACAGTACTGCTTTGATGGGAATTGGGAGGGTTTATGGCTGGGACACCGCCCCTGAGAAGAGGCCCCCAAGCACTAGCGAAATATGACATGTCTTGCTCTCTGAAGTCCGCACACTGCGTCAATAGAGATAACAGGAACTGTGAAATATCACTTCTCGCATAATTCAGAACAAGTTTACTGGCGCAGTTGTTGCCCCTCCCCTGAGTGCTTAGCCGCATTTCCCGGAGCAAACAGGACATTGCAGGACGGGAGTCAGGACAGGGCGCCGCCCAACAGCATGTAGGTCAATATGCCATCGTAGGTAAGTTAAGATAGATAGACTCAGGCGGCCCGTCTTTCAGGGTTTGGTTTGAGATGAAAGTTAAATGCCTGTTGGTGTAGTGCCGTGGAATAGCTCGTCCCAGACTCATCAGTCTGTGACCTAGACACTTGGGAGGCGCCAAGAAATACCGTGGACAGCTGACAATCCGCTATCTACGCCATTAAAAGCTACCGTAAATAACTCCAGACCGCCACAACGGCTAGGCAACGAACGTTTGATATGAGACTCAGACCTGCTGTTCTGGCGTCGCGGCTTGATTGCTTGAGGTGCGCCAAGCTCATCATTTTGTGGCATGAAAAGCAGGGGAAGGGCTGCTGCAGAAAGCGAAGATGCCCTGTACTTTGATGAGAGGGGAGCGTTGCTGCGGCATGTTAGTTGGTGTAACAAAGAAACCCGCTTTCTACTGGCAGAGCCATCAGTGATCGGTGGTCCATGCTGACGGCTAATACACTATTGACATTAGAAAGACCGCCCAACACAAATACCCTGGTACCGACAAAGAAATTCACGGTCGGCTTCTCTGTTGCGTTACCCTCTGCGTTTGCAATTGCCGTTTACTGCCCCCCCTTTTGAGATGCTATTTCCGGATTCCTTTTCTTTTCAAGAACATGTTCGAACAAGGAACGGACGAATGAAAGAGAAACAGAAGTTTTATCGTGCTGAACACTCTTATCTCCTTGTGCTTTGGTGTTGTTGGCTCCAAGTTAATAAACCCCCGGAGAAGCCCTTCAAGCCTCTTTTCTCTACCTGAAACCAGAGCAGCTACGAGGCAGAAAAAAACCTGACCGGAAAGTAAGCAAGCAAACGAGAAACTATTCGAATCTTGTCTTTTACTCACCATTCGTTTTCGTTTCAAACCGCCCCCCATACAGTGACTTCAACAATGCCTACGCTCAAACCGCTACCGGATTGTGAAGGCCCAAAGCTAGAGTGTTTCACCGATGATCTCTCAAAGCACGACTTGAAGTTTCTGGAATACCTAGGCGAGGGCTGTCACTCAGTCGTTCTCAAGGCCAGGATTGATGGCAAATTCTATGTTGTCAAATTTGTAGGTATAGCGAACACAACCGCCATGTCAAATGCTAACACGCGCCTAGTTCTTCCCTACTTTCGTAAACGAGCCGACCTTCGAGATGGCTCCTATTGATGAGTTTCACGTCGGGAGAGACGAGAGAGGGCTATTGGTCGCCAGTGACAAGATGCCCCAGCATGTAGTCGACAGTCTACGTCTCCATGCCACGTCCTTCAACAACGAGTGTCGCGCCTACGGTCGGCTCAAGGAGCTGGGCCTTGAGTATCTCGCAGTCAAAGCGCATGGCTATCTACGCCTGAGTTTTGCTCAGTTCGACGAGTATATACGAGACGTGCTGGGAGACAGCCATCCCCAAAACGAGGAGTACACACTGGATGTGCTAGAGATGTGTGAGGATCAAGTCCACCTGCCCATCATGGCTATCGTCAAAGATTGGATTCCCAACCACCGAAAGCCCACAGGCGAAATAACACGAGAAGCGGAACAGCGACAGATCAATCATCTACCGCGTATGCTTCGCAACCTTCGCCAGCTCCACAAGTGCGGTATCGTTGTACGGGACCTCAAGTCTCAGCAGTATTACGAGGGCCATCTGGGCGACTTCAGCCACGCCTGGACGATTCCGCATATTTTCGGCCCTGAAGGCGGGAACCGACCGCCCTGGGCTTTTGCGAGCATGGCAGCTTGGGACCTGAAGTGTTTCCACGACATGGTCAAATCAATGAACGAGTCGGCGGACATGGCTGAACCACCACTCAACAGATGTAAATCGATTATACCGCGAAACGAAGAGCGCTGCGAGAGTCTTCGTCCTCGTCCAAGCAGGCAGAGACCTTTCCTACCCATGCTCGCCTACGATTGCTCGAGCCCTGGCACCATGGACTACTCTCCTCCTTTCGATCCGGCACTCTTCAACTGGAGGGCTATCCAGAAGCGAGCGACAAAGAAGTCCATGGGCGATATCCCAGAGAAGCCTGCCGGTGGTGTCTCGATGAAGCGAAAGTCCACTGCCGCCAGAAAAGCCCGACAGGCGGGGAAGGGCAACAACAAGAAGAGGAAACGATAGACTTCTCACGCAACTCTATTGTCGCTTCTTGAATATGCGTTGAATAGCGGCAATGTGTTTTGACGTAATTTATTTTGGTGTTTTAGTTTCGGTGTTTTATGTTGGTGTTGCGATTCTGTTCTTGGTGTGCCTCGCTTTAGAGTTGAGGCTCACGCACGCGTGTTGTTTCCTTAGATCATTAGACCATTGTATTCATTTAAAATAGTTAATTATAACCCTGAAATGTTTTTTTACAGCATCTCAAGAGCAATAAATGATGATCCCGAGAGTCCTGCTGGAAATCGTCCGCGTAAGACCATCCAACACTGATCACCGGCGTAAATGGTCCGGAGGCGGGTTTAGCCCGGAACATTAAATTCCCGCTCGGTCCATTCCTGGAATGCATCATTCCCTCCATCGCAGTCTATAACCCCAGGTCTATCGCGACAATTCCTTACAAAAATGCTATCGCCGGCGATATCCTCTACAGCTTCTACTCCCGGTCGGGCCAGAGCTTCTTGCGAGCCCTGTAGTAAGTGACAAGACGTCGAGCGCCGGTTCCAGCTGGCTTATCCGTACCCAAACCCGCAGGATCGCGAAAGGTCCGATGCTCGGGAGAATACCCGGTGTGTTCGAAATGCACCGTTTCTAATCGAGGATGTATCTACTCTTTGCAGAAACGCGCTGGCAGACCAAAGAGGCCCTGCGTGATAGCGCGCGCGCCGTCCAGTCCTGCTCGGGAGGACGATCGCGTGCCGTCACCACCGCAGTCGAATACCCCCCGGATAACGATCGCTACAGAAGAGCGACCGACCCCCGACGAAGCTAATACAGATATTCCGCCATATCTCGCAGACTTTGAGAGCTTTGCGCCGTGAGAACCCGTCGAAAGAGTCGCCCTTTTCGCTTTCTAACCCTCCGCAGTGCGCAATCTCACAGCGACATCCTCACACAGACAGACATCAACGCTTCATGCGCATGCCTGTCGATCCTCTATCTTCTCCTCAATCGCCTCGGAGTCCGTACCGAACTAATTGTCCCCGATGATCTAACTACTCTGCGAAATACATTCGAGCGCGCAACAGATGTCCTAGAATGCTCAAAGTGCCCAATGCGCTTCGCATCCGTGCTGCAAAACGCGGGCATCTTGGGCATTCTATGCGTCTGCATCGCCGAGTCCTACGTCAGGCTCATCAACACGATTGACGCAAGGGCAATTGAAGCGGCCCGCAAGGGAGAAAAGTTAAAGGTAGCGCTCAATCCTTTGGGTCAGTCACTCACCGCGGTCGATGCAGTGTTGGTGCCGATTGAAGTGTCTCCTGAACAGTGGAAGAGTCTCATGTATTATGCCGTCAAATCGGAGATATTTGGCATTGAGAACCATCGCGACAAGTCGTTCGTCGCGTTCATTGAGCGGTTGGAAGAGCGACAGACGAGATGGCATACGCTACCTGCAGCGCCTGACTGCCCGCCAACGTACCAGTCTGCTTGCTCGTCTTCGGATGAACTGCCACTCTGCTTAACCATCACGAAGGCGGCGAGAAAGGTCCTTGACCAGATAGCTTCTACTCTGGAGTGACGAAGAGAACGCGCAGATGAGATTCGGTGAAGGACACGACTGGCTAGCACTTTTCTCGAGATGACTGAAGACAGAAATCCCCCAAATTGGTACAATATTAGCCTAGAAATTGCAAACTCTTCCCTTCTTGTTACACCTGTCAACCAATTACCCTCAATACCGTACATCCAAGCAACCGTATCGCCAACTTTCCCGTCCCGTACAAAGCTCTACTACTGAACAATTGCAGGGTGCAGAGCGCCCTTGAAATGGGGATTGAAGTCATACGTCTGATGTCTCTTATCATCCTCCCAGATCAACGTATCCCCCTCGGAATGGATCTTGAAGTGCGCTTCAGTCAACTTCTGAGCCTTCGCATCCTCCGACAGACCCTCAATCTCCTTCTCATTATACACCAAAGCCTTGCTACGACCCTTGAAGCAGGCATTCGACTTGTCGCCGTGGTTGTTTCCAGGCGTGTAGCTTGAGAACTCCTGCAGTCGGTCTAGAAGAGATTGATGCAGGACTGCGCCGCGCGGAATGTCACGGTACGAACCTTTGTTGGGAGGGAATGTCACGGGTTTCCAGCCGAGGAGCTTGACGTTGGCGTCTGTTGTGTCGTCGAGTTCCCAGCGTGTTAGGAAAGGGAGCCATTCTGGGACGTGTTAGCTGGGATTGAGACGGGCTGGGAGGGGACTTACCCATGAACTTCCACATGAGGACTTTGAAGAAGGCTGTTCCGTAGCCAAAAGCGAGACAGTCGTGCATGAATCCATGCGTCGCTTCTCTCCGCTTCGCAGGATCTTCCATACTCCTCTCAAAAGGCTTGAGACTATGGCACCAATGCACTCCCGCCTGCAGCGACTTATCCATCTCACCACACTTCTTAACCTCACGAATCATCCACTCAAGTGGAATATCACTCATCTGGAACCTATCTTTGTTCAGGTTCTGACTCGCCTTGCCAGCTTTCCTCGTCAGCCACGCGTTCTTGATACGGCCCCAGAAAGACGGCTTCTCCGCTTCGTCTTCCTGCTCATCAGGCTGTGCGGGCCATCCGCCGCCGACATCGCCGTGATTGCCAGGGAACCAGACTTCTTTAATGTCTTCTTCATCATCGTGGCTGTGCACTGCGGCTCTGATGTCCTGCGCCAACAGAGCGGGTTTGAACTTGACGCGACGCTCGTCAACGGCTACAGCGTGACGAACATGCGTCGCTGTGCCCGTTACAGGAACGGGCATCTTTGCCTTACGCTCGAGAACAGCGACGGAGGCGACACAGTCCCAGATTCCGAGGAAGAACACCTTGATGTTCTCCTCTTCACCGGCACGGTTCGTCTCCTTGCGACAGAATGTCTGACTAAATGCCTCAATCTCGTTGGAAGCATCCTGGGTCTCTTCACTGACATCTTCAGGCTTTGTGCCCAGAAGCTGTGTCGTGTCGCAATTTGCCGGCGCTTCTGTGTCCGAGCTGCCGTGCTTGGAAGCGCACTGCGCATGCTCGCTGTCTTTTATCTCGCCTTGTAGGTAGCGCTGATAAAGACGGTAGGCGAAGGGGACCATCTCCTCGTTGCCTTTGCAGAGAAGGCCGACCTTGTTGACCATTCTGGCGAGGAACTTGGCTGTGTAGGCGCCTCGGCTGAAGCCAAAGACGTAGATCTTTGCGTTCTTCACGACGTCAATTGAGGAGCGTGAAATTGGGAGATGTGACTTACAGTTTCATAGTAACGCATGAGAAAACGATAGCCAGCGATGACGTGAGCGTCAAAAGTGGTGCCAAAGCCTTGGTCGATTGTCTTTGAGATGTTACTCCCAAATTCACCAAGGATGCCCTTGTTCACGGACGTCTCATTGATATCATATGTACCAATTCCAGCTATACACAGTTAACAACCGCATTTCGACTCAATGGCTGACATCTTACTCTGGTAGTAGTGGAACTGGTTCTTGTTGTTTCGATCCAACTTTCGAAGGATCTTGACAACATTGGTATCGGCATTGGAGCCACTGAACGTGTTTCCCGTGCCGTCAAAGCACAGGATGAGCTTCTTGGGCTCAGGAGAGTCAGGGCTTTCGTTCTCAGCGTGAGGCATCTTTGGGAGAAGAATGATGGGGAGTTTCCAAGGTGAGACGGGAACTCAGTGTCTGGGGGGCCAACTAAGCTTCCTTTATGCGGAGACAACCAAGTCCCTTGCGTGGTTCTTTGGATTGTGCCACTGGCTTCCCGGCCCGTGTAGCATAGCACACCTGCAACGGGAGCAGAGATGTATACGGTACGGAGAGTGAGATATTCACATGCATTGTTTTCTCCTCCCTTACGAGAATGAATGAAGGGATGCTAATCGGAGAATATTGATTCGTCCTTGGCATTTCGGTTCAGCCAGCCACAAGAATGTCGATTTTTCCTCAGTTGGGTGAATTGTCTGGTCAAGGGACAGCTCGGGGAGGGGAAAGGGAGGAGAATTGAGTGAGCTTGTTGTGATACGGTGCGGCTGAGACATGATTTCTGTTTGGGGTCTGTTGCAGTTGATGCTCGACACGCCATAATTCCATTGTTGGTGGTTGGAGGTTGAAAGGCGGGGAGATGTGCACGACTCCGAGCTTGTGAAAGTCGGTGACTGTTGTAGCTGCATGGAGGTACTTGGCTTGGACCCTGATGTTTTGGAGAGAGCTTATGTATTGGTTGATTTTTCTTCTTTTGTCTCGGTGAGATTCATGTAATAAAAGGAGTGTTATTGCAGAGTGCAGATAAGCGGTGTTAGGATAGAGTCTAGAGATCTGAGATGAGAAGAGATTGACCTGAGGGGTTGGTACTGAGACGATCTTGAGCTTCTTTGGTCTGTGTAACTTGAAATAAGCAATTGATTTGATTCAGCCGATAATAGCCTGAACATATGTCATGATATGATCCCAGCTCAACCATCAGTACACAACTTGTCTCACACACATCTCTCAATGTCTTCCGATCCCCAGCTCACAGCATAAACATTCAGATCTAGATTCTCTTTCCTTTCCCCCTCTCCCCTCACAATCCATGTATTTCCAAGCACCAGTAAATCAAACAACACACGAACTGCAGGTCTCACAACCCCTCACTTGACAACATCCCCCCCGGGCTGAGACATTAGCTCACTCCGACACCTGCTATTTGCCGGACGGCCCGATGGCGATCATTCGTAGCGTTGCACGGCATAAACGCCCGTCAGCAAATGTCTAGCTTCGGCAGATCTAGCTCCAGCCAATTGTGGACGCGCTGGTTGGCCGGAACGGACCGCCTGCATTGGTGGTAAAGCTAGGAGATTTTGATGGGGAAAAGGTTATCTAGATGAGGTGAGATGTTACGGAGATCGGAAACGTAGCTTAATTCAAATTGAACGCTTATAGAGAGGAATACGGGACAATTGATGAATCATGAGAAAATCAAAGGAATGTAGAGTACAGGCTTGGTAACTGAAATGTCAGATCATCTTTGAGGCCGCTGCACACCCTCTTTTCCAAACTTGAAAGATCTCGCATCAAGGTCTCACAAAATAGAATAGCCTGTGAGACATTGCTTCTCGCCAACCCCTCATTCTCAAAGCTTCATCCTGGTAAAGCTGTATCCCAGCTTATCACCTTCCGTCATTGTCTCAGCTCGCATCCCGCGTTGGCAATACGAGAGCTTGCATTGGACAGACTGTGTTATCAGCTCTCGTTGTACCAAACGCCACTTACACTCGAGGGTCCGCGATGTGGTTACCGCTCGTGAAAGAGAGCTACAAGTGACATGTTTGGTATAAAGCATGGGGGGATGAAGATGCCCGTGAAGAATGTTGGAACTGGATTCTTCTCTTTGTACACGCTTCTTCTTTCTTCATCATGTCGTTCAATGAAAAGTTTCAGGCTGGTGAGTCCTATGGGACCTCTAAGGAGGACCCGGCGAGTCTGCTGAATAACCCTGAGAAACTCGTTGCGGACCTCATGAAGGACTTTGCTGGTGTTCGAAGCCAAGCTAGTCCTGCTCAACTCCTCGGTCTTGTCAAGGAACTTCTCCAAAAGGGCCAGCCTCTTGATGACAAGAAGGGGTAAGTCACTCATCTACATAATATCCCAAAGCACGACTAACAAGTGTAGAACTACTGAACTCCTCATCGGTATCCTCACCGCCCTTCCTGCATCCTCCAAAGCTCGCACAGCTCTCACAAACAAACTCATCGACACCCTCTGGGGCAACCTTCAGCACCCGCCATTGAGCTACGTCGGCGGCGATGTCAAGTACGATGTCGTAGACTCTGATAAGCCAGCCCATAAGCATAATTGCGACCTCTACGATACAATTGAGTTCAAAGTCCCAGGCACTGATGTTCTTCTTCGGGAACAAGTGCCCCAAGCTCCAGATGGCCTTCATCAGTACCGTATGCCAGACGGTAGCTTCAACAACATCCTTGAGCCTAATCTAGGCAGAGCTGGTACACCGTATGCCAAGTCCGTCAAGTCAGAGAAGAGACTTCACGGTGTTAAGCCTGATCCTGGGCTGTTGTTTGATCTTCTCATGGCGAGAGATGAGACGACGTTTCAGGAGAATCCAGCTGGTATCTCGTCAATGCTGTTTTACCACGCTGCGATCATCATTCACGATATCTTCCGCACGAACCGTACAGATATGAACAAGTCTGATACCTCGTCGTATCTTGATCTTGCGCCGCTGTATGGTTCTTCACTGAAGGATCAGCTTGAGATTCGTACCATGGAGAAGGGCAAGCTCAAGCCTGATACCTTTCACGAGAAGCGTCTTCTTGGTCAACCAGCTGGCGTCAACGTCATGCTTGTGCTGTACAGTCGTTTCCACAATTACGTGGCTGACATTCTGCTCAAGATCAACGAGAACGGACGCTTCTCAATGTCAGTGCCGCCCAATGCTTCTGAAGAAGAAAAGGCAAAGGCTATTGCGAAGCAAGACCATGATCTCTTCAATGTAGCTCGTCTGATCACGGGTGGTTTGTACATCAACATCTGCTTGCACGATTATCTTCGTGCCATCA